AAATGTATTTGTGGATTTATGGTGCCTAAATCCATAAATCCACGACCTGATTAAATACTTTGAAACCATATAGAAGAAAGATGCTGTCCTGCATGCCGTTGAACCTGATTTTTGTGGAGATGCATATCTCACCTTGAATTTTAACAATGATTTTGTTATCATTTTGAAAGTACGATAAGGTAAGATTTTGTTGGCATCTTGAAGATGACTGGCATCCATTTGGTCAGATGCAGTTGTTAAACATATTATTATGCTGGCTGTTTCTACCATAACTGAATAATTCAACAAGATTTCGTCTAAAAACATGAGCTCATTGTTAGTTTCAGATTCTAGTACTTCATTTTAGATAATAAATCCACAAGACTACAACCCGTCTTTTCGCTACGGAACAATTCGAAGCGGGAACACCGAAGAAACACTGAGAAAAAACTATGGCAATGTCTATCGTTACATCAAGTACAACGACTACTTCTATGACAACGTATCTCATGGCGTTAGTGCTGTCAAAAAGAAGTGAGCCGTTTTGCTTCTCAAAGGCAAATGCTAACTACATATTCCAATCTGTAATTAAGTCACTGATGATTCATAACCAGACAACAGCTGACATGCCTTGTTTAAGTTTTGAGTACTTTAGAAAAAGTAGCTTACTTGTTTCAAGCGTTAAAACATGCCCATCTGCTCTATAGATGAAACAATGCGGTGCGGATTGCACCTTTATGTATAGATTAGTAGCTCAATCTTCAGTGTTTGAAGTTCCTGTTTTTTGCTAACAGTAAGGTAGGTCTATCCTTCAGACAATTAGTACCGTTTCCACTCATTTCATCGTATAGTTTCTCATATGCTGGTTCACGTGAATGTCTAAGATGAAGTGAAGGGTAACATGAGGTGAATGAGTATCTTACGCAATTGAAACTGGTGGTAAATCTTGGCATTTCTATGAGGCAGGAAGTAAGCACAGGATCCGTTCGTTCATTCATTCATTCCTTATTTCACTCATTTATTCGTCAATTTATTCAGCCAGTAATTCATTCATTTTCATGGCTTGCAATTCACTTCGAGTTTGAAGAGGCTACAGCTTGAAGCCGTTTTCCGACGGATCCAATTTTCCGTCATTTGAGCAAGTTCAAGTGGCTCCGTTACTCATGACGATGGCACAAGTACAATACACTGGTTTCTGTAACCCTTGCTTCGTTCTTGACTATCCATCAAAGAGAATCCTTATTGCTTCCTTTGGTATCCTGAACACATGTACAGACCGTTGCAACTGCAGTCTTTCGAGCTGGATAAGATATTCCTTGCCTGCGAAGCTATTCGACCTGGTTCAAATGTTTCTCAAGGCTCGTTACACCCACAACCATGTGATCAAAGTGCACTAAAAGAGATTATCATTCGCAGAGCTGCGAAGCGCAAATCAATAAATGTTTTTAAAGGATTTAAAATATATGTAAAAGTCATCAATCT